ATAGTGTGCTTGTGCGCGCTGGCGTGTGTTTGTGTGTGTGCGTGTGTGTGCGTGTGAGAGAGAGAGAGCCTGTGCTACAGACAACAACAGAATCCCTGGCTACACACTTGAGCCAGCAGCTGTCACGACGAAGCGGTCATAAGATGCAGGAGGACACCTAGCGGTCAAAAGACAATTTGCACCTTGAAACGCCGTCATCACAGCATGAAGCAGAGAGAATTATGTTGGATAAACATAAATGTAAGTTAAATAAAAATAAATATCAGATCATGACATGCCTCGTGATACGAGTGAGGCTGAATAAACGTGAATGAAACTGAAAAACCATTGGGCCATTTCACTGAATGGGTGGCATTTGCTTGTTCTAACTCTTCCAAATTAAACTTAAAGGGGCTATATGTAGTTTTTCAATGATATCAGTTATTAATAAATCTAAATTTTTTACTGCCTTATTGTCAATAGGCTCTAACCTCACTTAGAAATTAAGCACACGCCTGTTTTCTCTGTTGCAGCCACTATTCTGCTTTTAATGTGAGGACACCGGGGTCGGGAAGTAGATACGAGTTCCCGAGCTTCTCTCTGTGACAACAGCCACAACACCGCAGCTAACGACAACGCAGTCCACTGACACCATAAAACAACCGACTCCCAGCAAAACACAGACTCCAACATAAACTCCAGGTAAGGATAAAAACAACAATAAAAGTTTATGTGCTGAACCTTGTCAGGCCAAACAGAATCAGACTTTTAATAGCAATATCACCATCAAAACCATCATCCAACTGATTATAATGCAACAGAATAGCTTAAAATACACCTGGAATACAAATGAACTGTAAATTTGATGAAAAGAAACTAACATACAACAGTTATTACACAATTTTTCTAAAATATACCAAGTAAATGTCCATGTTTTGGCCATATTTAAAGTTTATATGTTCACTTTTATTGGGAGTTTTCTTCAAAACACTATTTCTGTCCATACAACCACATTCTAAATAACACAAAGCTTCCAAACCAGTGAAATATTGATAAAAACAATGAATATTGATCAACATTCCTGTGAGCGAAAGCACACATGCTTTACAGGCCCACAACTTGAAAACAGAACATCCTACAGGGCTGTAATTGGGCACTTTCTCGTCTATATCGTTTGGTATATTGGATGTCTGTGTAGCTCCTACGAGTCAGCCAGTAGAGGCTGATAAAGACCATCTCTCCCAAAGCAACACTTCTTTCCTCCTTCATCTTGACAAGAGAAACGAAACCTAGAGCTGCGTTTTGACCAAAGGAACTATACCCTGGAACTTGGAACCTTTGGAGGAACTCACTGCGTTTCCACTGGAGGGACCAGGGTCTAAATTTAGTTCCACGGTCTTTATTTTACCCCCCAAAAAGTCCCTGCTCGTTGGGTAGTACTTTCCGAAAGTACTGATACTTTGGGGGGGTGGAGCTTGCCTTGCAGTGAATTTCTGAATGGGCGAGTAGAGGTTACTGGCTTTAACTGGAGAATGTCGGGTGTTTTTCTACAACTGCTTCTCTCTTTTTCACCTTGTTTACAAACCAATAAATCACAATCAACAGTCAAATAGCCACACAAGTCTCGCCGATGTCAGCCTGAGATCGTACGTTGGCATTAAATGTATTGCTTGGAAATAGCAGCCAGCATGCAGCGGTGTGTTTACAGCGAACAGCTGATGGAGCCACGTTCAATACTGGGTCCGGGGGTTGTTGTTGTTCTCATCAGTCAGAAAGTTTTTACACAGAGCTGAAGTCGGTCTCCTCCTCTCCAAAACAGCTGATTACAGCAGGTAATAAAGCTCGTTAAAAATTCCGTTCCTTGATGCTCAGGCGGACACAGAGGAGAGTCCTGCAGCTGATCTGCAGCTGTTGTCGGCTGGAAATGTTGTAATAACCTTCCAAACTATCGCAACTTTATTTTTGTGTTGCTTTCTCTGCGCTGGAGTTATTTTAAGAACTTTATTATCCAGATTTTTATTAAATTTGTAACAAACTTTATCGTGTGTCTCTTCATAGTACTCCCACACAAATAATGATGCCTGTGCAGTATAGGCCTACTTTACTACTTTAGTAATCTTTACTCATTGCCATTGCCCAGCACCATTGCTTTAAAAGTTCCTCCATGTATCATCAGCTTAAATTTGTCAGTTGCAAAAACTACATCCAATAGTGTTTGTGTGAAAATAACCCCCCCCCCCCCGACCTTTTCTAAAAAGCCTTCTCTAGGTTGGCCCAGACGTCTTTCTCAATCTCCATGTGACGATCTGTGACTGGTCTTGTGGTTAGGATGACACACACAGTGTCCTCAAACAGGTATCAAAGGATGTCTTTGCGGGCTGGCCAGAAAAACCTGTTGACTCTAATCTTCTGCATACAACAGACCTCTCCATGTGTTTGTTTCACTTGTATCTGTGATGATGCCAGTACTGTTGTACTTCAGCAAACACCATTAACCATCGTTCATCTACCTTATTGTGGATGCACTGTACATTGGAGAGAAGAATGGTAGGAAGCAGAGGGAACCAGCGTCTATTAGCCAAAATGTGTCTCCTCAGTCTGCACAGGACGCCGCCTCTCTTCCCTCTTTTTCTCCGGTGACTTTTGGCTAAATAGTCTTTAAAGGGTCAAGATCCAGTGAAATGACCTTTCGATCTTTAAATGACCTCATATAACCTCATATTTTGTTCTCTCGTATTCTTTCTGGTACACAGTAAGTAGAAACAAATGCACAGTAAATTGGAAGGAATTAACATACTCTGTTGCAGGCCATAGCTGAAAGCATTATTGTAACTGACGTAATGTTTCTCAATATGTAGCCTAGCTAGTTAGCTAATGTCAAGTAGGTTACCGAATAGACCACATTTAATGTGTTCAGGTATGTTTAAAGGTTCTACAGCTTAGCTTCCTAACGTAATGCATAACACAACATTTAATTTCAATAAAACATGTATGACCCATCATATGATATAAATTAATTGAATTTAGATTTGAATTTGAATTATTTGAATTTAAATTACCGTAGCAAGCAAAGGAACACAAAATAACCAACATAATGCCAACTTTTACCTTCTACTATCCATTCCTTCCACAAGCAGGAACCACTTCCTTCTTCCAAACCAGAAACTTGATGCTAAAATGGTATTGTGGGTGGGGCTGGACCTTTTGGGCAGGGCTGCACTGTCCAACCCTGCCTTTCCACAGGCAAAATAAATTTTTTCAAAGATGGTGTCTGTCGTTTTAGAGGAGTTCATATCTACCTACCTACCTATAACCAGAAAGTCTACTGTTTGGATTGTTTAAAATTTTTATAATTCACTTAAAAGGACCATGTGTAGTTTTTAGTGGCACCTTGCGGTGAGGTTTCAAATTGCAACAACTACCTTCCTAAGCATGTGCTCCTGCGCGTGCCTGAACTAATTAGCGAGCCAAAACAGAGACAGACACACTGGAGACAGCATCACAGTGCTAAATGCTAGAAACTCAGGTAAAGTCCCACTGCAACGTTAGGACTATTTCTTTAAGCTTGATGTTGAACTAATCCTTGTTGCATGATAACAATACATTGACTACATTTAACTGACATGATATGTCGGCGTTAGATAGCCTTTAATAACTATTTGGCAAAAAGCTGCGTACCGGCTGTGTATCGGTAAAACAACAATAAATCAAAATTGAGCATTACGAAGCAAACAATACCAGATTAGCTGGCTGCCCCTGCCTTCCATCACTACTGGTTTTGGAAACACATTGTTCCACATTTGCTTTGTTCTTGCAAGCTAAATCAACACTTTGACATAACACCGGTACCAGGGATAGCTGGTGAAGTAATTTGGCAAGCCATAAAACGATAGCAACAGGTTGGCGTTAGCTGATACAGCTACATAGAAATATATAGAAACATCTCCCATTAACCACAAATACAATTCTTTTTTAATAATAGAAGTTATTTACATTTTTGTTCTACACTCTATGTCACATTTTCTTTAATTGGGATCCCATAACAATCTGACAGATTACAATTTTAAATTGGAAATAAATAAGATTCATCAAAGTTTATCTTTAAACCATAAACATTAGCAAACGCATTTGTACAAGCCACTGAATGCTTTTGAAACCTGACTTTGGTCTTTCAGAAAAACTGTAGTATTATCTGCTAAGTGACATATTTTGAAATCCTTGCCCACTACATTTATTCCTAGGAAGGTAACTAACAAAAATAAACATGGAGATACTGGAAAGCCTTGTCTTATACCATGATAAATATGAAATTTTGTGTCTGAATTGCATTTGTAAAGTATTTTCCAAAACCAAAAAAGAAATATAATAGCTTTGCAAAGTGAAAAAGCCCAAAGTCCAACCCAAAGGGAGTTCCCATCTCCCACCGAAAACTCTGCTCTGAACTGACTGAAAACAGCTCGTTTCCTGTCCAGCCGCTTCCCTTTCATCCCTGTGACGTCACAGAGGACATCTTAAAGACAACATGTTACAGTGGTAAGATAGTGCTGACCCTGAGATTAGGATAAAAGCTGCATGTGCTGAGACACTGGAGCTCACTCGGATGATACTCTGATGAATGTGTCCCAGTGAGTTCCTTCTGCAGAAGACTTGAATAAAATTCATAGAAAGACAAGTGTTTGCCTAAGCTGTTTATTTGAAAACTTGAATTGCCATCACAGGTGAAAGACTCTTAACTCAATATTTTGGAGCAATGCTAAATGACTAAACTTACTTTTGGTGGCATACACATTAATCAGAATAAATTGGCTGCAATTTATATCAATAACTACAATAATCTTCCAGATGTCTTAAATTAAATTGTAATGACAAACATTGCTAGCAGCAGGTCATATTAAGTGCCACTAACATTAATTTTGTCTGTAACTTGAGGAAAGGCCACAATTAAACATGTCTGTAGAGTAAACCCTCAGACTGGACCAGAGGCCTAATGGGCCCTCACCCTTACTATTCATTCTCTTGGATGTAACTGTAACTTAGACTTAGATGAACTGTTGTCCATCCATCCATCCATCCATCCATCCATCCATCCATCCATCTTCATCCGCTTATCCGGGATCAGGTCGCGGGAGAACTGTTGTCCTTTCATTATAAATGGTATTCTTTTCAATGAGACACAGATTCCAGTAAAGTTCAAATTAAATCAAGTTTAGTGATAATTACGTAAATTAAGTAAATAAACAAATACATCAAATACATGTGTCTCTGAGCTGGTCCTGGGAGCAGAATCCTTAAAGTCTGTATTACATTGGTTATGTCCTGTCTCACTCCTCTTGTTGCAGGTCTTATGGTAAGACCCACCTTTTCCACATTCACATCCACACATAATCAATGTTAAAACAATAGTGTATTCTACCCTAAAAAACTACAAACAGTGGAGTCAGAATCTGCGCAGTAGTGATCAGGGTTGGAGCTGCTGTATCCCGGTCCAGCCCATACTCCCAGTCGACTCAACTGCGAGCAGGGCTCAGCTGTCAGTCATGCTAATAACATCAAATAACTTGTGAAAAACCCAACGTATCAGAAATATGAACACTTGAACACACATCAGCATGATAAGAACTACCTAATGACAGAAACCATCTTTGGGAAAATGTATTTGACTTTATTGTTTGTCCATGTTCCATCCGCAAAGGGCCAATTGCCATGTTTTGGCATCACTTCTGGGAGCTGTCGTGTTGTCAATTTTTTATATACAGACTATGGTCTGTACTAAGATTGTTTATGAGTCAGAAGCAGTCTTAACAACTCCAACAGATTGTTACCGTTTTATCTGTTTCACAAGTCCCCATTCTCCACATTACACCTGTTACTTCAGTGTGTCGGATACATAGCGTATTTAATCAACATTAAGGTAAATATAAGTAATGGATAGCACTCTGTATCAGCAGATCCCCAGATACCCTTACAAATTCATTGAGAAAAGATGGTGTATTTTAAACACAACAACATTTTTTTTTAATATTCCATGCTATCTTTTTACACTGCAAACTGTAGTATACAAACTGCAAACTAATCTAAATGCCCGTGTCCACCAAAGCGTTTTTTACCAGCTGAAAGCGCCACCTGCTCTTCTGAAAACGCCTAGTTGGGAGCGTTAGGGTGCGTTTTGGAGGTGCAGTGTTGATGATGAGATGTGATGACACGCCAATGTGCCTACACCTCGGTGTGTAGACACATCGTTTCGTTCAAGATCGGATGTGCTCTGTGTGGTGTTAGTCCTGCCCCTCCTGCACTGTGATTGGACTGCTGGGTAAAAAGTGACAGTGACGAGCGCAGCGTTTTTCCCAAAGTTGAACATTTTTCAACTCTCAGCGACCGGAAAAAACGCCTCATCACGCTGCTGCCATTTTTACCTGGTTGTAAAAATGCGGCGCTCCCATTGCATTGCTCTAAGTGAATTATTTGTAATTGCTTATACTATATACTGTATGTCTATAACAGACTTACCACAAATGTAATCCTAAATTGGGAGAATGCCATTATCCCATGGTGGATTGCAGGTGCAGTGAAATTTACATGACAAAATATTCGCGATAGGCCTGTCAATACAGAATTCTGTTGCAAGGCTTTTAACTCACATTAACAAAAGAGCACACATCACACATGTTTTAGCATCACTTCACTGGTCACCAGTCTAGTATAGAATTCAGTTTAAAATCCTGGTCCTTACTTTTAGAGCCCTGCACGGTCAAATTCCTCCCTACATCTCTGACTTGATAAAGCTTAATAATTCGACCCGTAGTTTGAGGTCATCAGGTCAGAGGCTATTAGTGGTTCCCTACACTCATTTTAAAACCAGAGGGGATCAATCATTTCAAGCAGTGGCACCTAGGCTGTGTGAATTCTGTTGATTATTTTAAAAAGCAACTGAAGATGCTGCTATTCAAGCAAGCTTTTAGTTAGATGTGGGGTTTTTAGGTTTTTTTATGGTTTTGTTCTATGTTTTCCATTTGTATTAAGTTAGGTGTGAGTAAGATTTAAGGTGTTCCATGTCTCAGCTGTCATAACTGGATAAATGTGTGCTCTTTCAAAGCTGTTGAAGTCAGTGGATACACTAACAGAGTAAGCACCCATGTTGTCGATGAGAAGCCAGTCGCCTACGTGCAACTCAGGAATCCAGTAGCTGTCAGTTACTTTGTCAATGCAGTCGCAGGTTGGACCCCAGATTACAGACCTGTATCTCTGCTCGCTGCTCTTAACTGCCTGTGTAGAGCACAAATATTGAAATTTAAAATCCACATAACACTGGTTCTGGTTATTATATTCTACCATAATCTATTTGTTTAAATCAGATTTCTATTTTACATTTTAAACAAAAGTGTCTCAATAACTGAACATGAAGATATCAGATTGGGTCATTGTGCTTAATTTAGAGTCCAATATCCCCAGCAATTACGTCCATATTTTACAATTCCACACCTCTGGATTCACGTCCAGTGCCAACATTAAGTGCCAGTGAATTAGAGTTCTCTTTAGGGGGACAGTGAGCTTATGGAGGTCACAGTCTGACTTCAATGCGCTCCTAACCCTAACCATACCTTAAATAAAGAATAAATGCCATAACTATGATATTTCCCTAACTAACCATTCAGTAATCACCATGCTCAGAAACTGTGGTAAGTGAGAAGTGTAAATCATTGGCATTTGATGTTATCTGCTCTTTTGAAGGTTTGATATTTACCCTGTGAAGGTATGGTTCGAGGTTGCAGTGAGCGGGATCAAAGACAATGCAACTCATGGAGCCATACACTCCATCATTAAGGTAGTACATCATCATTCTGTTAGAGCTGTTTTCCTCACCATCTGGAAGAAATACATGCAAGATAAGTTACTAAAATGGCAACCAACCAGATCTATCAAAGATGCAAATACTTTTTTAAAAAAGATGTTGAAAATAATAGAAAAATAAAAATGATTCACTGTATCTATGGTGCCTCTGGCCCTCTGTACAAAGTGAGTAACTACAACCCTGCTAGCAGAGATGTAGACTCGGGTCTTGGTGACTTGGCCTCAAGTCAACTCGAGTCAGTTCTGATGACTTGCAACTTGAATTAACAGAAAATAAATGACTCCACTTGGACTTTGAAGCTCTAAAGACTCATGGCTTGACGTGCATTGAAGACAAAATGACTTGAATGGCTTGCTTGTGTTCATTTTATGTTTTCAGTTTAAATATAAAATATTAAAAATGTTCATTTTTGTCAGTGGTGATATTACAAGTGTCTGTGTGACGTTACACGATATGCGAGCACACACTGGGAATGGCATTGTCATGACTGGATAACTACTCGCGATGCTCCCTGATGGTTTATGGATCAGATTAGATTATCATGCCTGTGCCAAGAGTCATCACTTTCAGATTCAAGAGTTTCACATGTGAAGAAAAAAGGCAAACTGCTAAATGCAAGACCTGCACTTCAAAGATTTGTTTGTCATTTAACAACTCATTCGGATCCAGTGTTTCCCACAGAATGACAGGGGGGAGTGCAAGAGAGAGAGAGAGGGATGAGCGAGAGGATGCAGAGCTCTGCAATCAAATACGATTTTAAATAGGCCTAGTAAAAAAAATGGAAAATCAATATGTGGCGGTCAGCGTCGATATTGTGGCATGCTGCCACAAATAAATGAACGTGTGGGAAACACTGGGGTCAGTACATGTCTGTGAGGGCTGATGTTAGCAAGGTCTGGTTAGGTTTAGGCACAGAAACACTTGGTTAGGTTTAGGAAAAGATCATGGTTTGGGTCAAAATATCTGATTGCCAGAAAAATGTCTTCAAAATGTCCAAACATCTTGCTAAAAATGCCAAGTTTTGTCAGTTGAAACAGTAAACGAGCGGAGGTCTCAAACAGTTCCCTCTGCTGCTTTAGCAAATTTCTAGCCAGCAGCCATACCCACCTTCTCCTTTGGAGAAAGTGAGCTCATATAGATGTCATGTGAATTACGTCACTTTCCTCATGATATGCATTGTTGAAATGTTGACATAATACATAGTGAAATGTAAAGAACATATCCATGGTTTGCAGAAACGTACAATGCAAACCTTTTATTCTGCCAACTGGGCTGCACTGACGTAAAACACATCCTGTGTTGTAATACCACTTGGGCTTGAGAGATGATAGTCAGACAGTCAGTCCAACTTGAGAGGACGAAGAAGTAGTGCTGCCCCGAGGGGTATGCAAGACTAAATTGAATATAACTTACAGCCCCCACTTAGTGTCACAGAAACACAATGATGGCAAAAACAATAAGCAATATAAAAAGAAGCGAAACAAGAGGAAGTATTGCCGTGGTTTTCCACCCTTTGGAGACAGCTCTTGGCAGGTAGAGATCTGCAGTTGGATGCTGAACTTGCAACATTTATAACAACACTTATACTCATATCTTGAGTGCAACTAATGACACCGCAAACTGTACCAAAACATTCCAAATGGTGTAGATATGTGGCTGTTTTTTGCTACTATGGTTTTGCTAAAACTGAGCTAAGCAACTTCTACGGAGACAGAGCGGTGACAGAGCCTCAATCGGGGCCCACCTGCACCCAAGTCATTTATACCAAGTTTACAAGACCCCGGACTAAATCCGAAAGTCCGGTTACGTCCTTTCTAGTCAATGCTTGTGCTCACACCAGAAATGCTGCAACGCATCCCAGGAGAGGCTCTCCACTCCACAGAAAATAGGCATCCTGTCTATTTCTGACGGAAGCCCAGTCAAGCAGTACAGAGCCAATGAACCAGACTGGAAGTCAGACACAGAAACGGCATAGAGAATCCGGTTGATTTTCAAAATAAAATACTCCGTGCAGACTCCTGATCGTACAGTTTATCAACAATAAACACAGTTAAAACAGACATTAAAAGAAATAATGTAACTACAAGGCCTACTTAATCATGATAGAAGCACAAAAATTAAGGATAACTGACCAAACAACAAAATCTGAACAAGTCAGCAAAATCAGGCATGCAAAATGAAATGCTCCATGTGGGAAATGAAGTGCAAAGAAAGGAACAAAACCTGTTCACAGAGAGCTGTAATTGGTAGTGGAAGCACAAGAAATAAATAATACAAATAAACAACAAGTCAACAAATGGGGCAGGCTACAAAGCTGCAAAGTTTCCAGTGTGAGTTGACGCTGGGCAGAGGACGAAGAAATCTTGTGTAACGTTAGTGATGTTGAAAGGGGAGACGTCTCCAACCTCTCCAGGTTCTTTATAAAGAACGGCGTGTTGGTCCTGCAGGTGCTTTGCTCTTTCATTATCGCCGCTCTGTACCGTCACTTTCTTATGGGCTTGCATGTATCCTTTGCCAGCATCCAATCACAAGTGACGAGTACTAGCCAATCACAGCACAGTAGGGCGGGACTTGCCAAATCTCTGGCATAGGGAAAAAAAAATGTGATTCAAACGGAGCGAATGAGACGAGAAGAAAGTGCTGTGAGTGACAGAAGACGGGGCTGTGTGGGCGCTGCAGCGGTGTGTGCATCAGCTCGCTGTCAGGGAGAAGAGAAGCACATTTTCAGGATTGAAACTGTGGAAGATGAATAAAAAAAGCCTGCATTTGTTGCTCAGAATACCCATGATGCTTGACGGTGAAGGGAGTTTTGTTAAAATTTCAATATTATCTAGCTGCAGTACCAGAGGCTGCGGTTTCAGGACCCCCGCAATCCTGAGACCGCAGTTCTGGGACTGTAGTTCTTTTGCAACAGCGCCATCTAGTGGAGTGGTGGTGATAACACACAGCAACACAGACAGGGTTAACCGGTCAACATGCATATAATCAATAACTTAAGTTTAGGCACACACTCGGTGACGGTTGTGGTAAGGGTAATTTGCTTCGGGGGGCTATCAAGGGTAACATAGCTAGCTAGCTGCCAGCTAGCTGGCAGTATCAAAGTAAATGAGGGTCCTAGAAATGCAGTTCCGGTCCTAGGATTGCGGCCCTGAAACTGCAGCCTCCAGTACTGCAGTTACATACTACTCTAAAATTTGCTAATAAGTTTGCCATTTGTTAGAAATACAAATGTTACTTTGATTTAATTTTTTTAAAACATGTCTGCTTAGAATATAGTGTTTTTTGGTAATGTGTGTCGTAGTGTTTTGGTTAATTGTCATTCTTGTGGTGGTTCACCATTGAAACCAGGAGTGAAGTGACTGTTACATTTGATAAGAACAGCTGAAAGTTTTTTTTAATTATAGGACGTGAACCACATGCAGCTCCTCACCTCCGGCCACGTCTTCAATCAACTGACTGCTTCACAGCCGTTATGACCGCTGCCACTAAAATTGCTAAATAAAATTTTATATCAATGCGCTAATTATTTTTACTTGCACACTTTGCGAGCATGTTAACACTAAACGCTTGGCTAGCTTCCTCTCCTTGTTCTTCAAAAGACATCTGAGTGACAGGTGCTGTTATCAGAGCAGCGTAACTCATTAAGAAAATCAGGATGTGCAAGTGTTTGATTGTCCGTGCGGCAGAAAGTGACGGTGAATGGGAGTGGAGGAAAATATTCTAGCAGTAAATGTTATGTCGTAAATGTCGGTTACAGTGTGTCAGCTTCACAAGACCAAAAAAAGTTTGTTTCCCCAACTGCTGGAAAAGTGAAGCCGCTTTGCGCTAGCAAACGTCTCCCCTCCCCTTCAGACTGAGGTCTGGAAGCTTAGTAGGAAAACAATCAGTATGTTTTTTGGCTGCTATGTAAATTAACATTAGCTCAATTTATAGGACATAACTAGTAGCTGCATTTCATTACTACGTACTTGTCCAATGTTTGGAACCTCAGGTACAAGCTTAGACTAAACTGGTATAGCCTACAGCTCTGTCCTGTACACATCCTAATAGTTAAATTGTTTTTCAATTTTCAGATGAGTCTGAAAAACTGAATGTTTGAAATGAGACACAAAAGGCAAATGTGAACAATTCTATTGCTAATGATCCTGAGGTCATATTAACAAGGTTTTCTTGCCGTTTTAAGGCTTAGGAGAAGAAGCCCAAACAGTTTGGTGCTGTGCCATGTATGGAAAATCATTGTGGAGAGCAACAAACTAAACAAATGACCTTTTCCCAAATGTAAGGGTTGTAGTTATTCCCCAGTGGACTTCTTTAGCAAGTTTAGTCCTTAGTTTTTGGATGTTGTTTATTTGTTCACATATATGGTAAAAATAATGTCCCAAAATGAGTGTGGAATTGCATATTTGTCATTGGAAAAAATAAAATTTAAATTCAACCACACATTGTATATATATGACATCTAGTTTGTGTCGTTACCTGACGACTCGTCTATGACCACTCTTTTGGCCATGACGTTCACTGCCAGTGTGAAGGCGGATTCCACGTAGTATCGGCCTGGTTCTGCGATAATCTGCACCCCACTGTCAGGCGGGAAGAATTCATCCAGTGCTCCATTAATGACTTCTGAAAACTAGAAGGGTTCATAGCGGTTAATAGCTATTTCAAATGTAAACTGATTTATTTTCCATTAAATTTTTATTTTATTAGTTATCATTGTTAATGTGAGATTATGTAACCACAGTTCTCAACCTCTTCAAATTTATCTTGAAATTCCCCAATCCCAGAGAATCCTCCACCAATATCCAAGAGTCTCATCTGGAATCCCAACAAATTCTGAAAAAAATATCAATCAATCAGTCATGTCAATTTAAAATGTTAGCTGTTGGCACTTTGGCAGACAGTCTTAGAATTTTATTGAATACTTTAATACAATTTACACAATGATGACGACATACCGCTAAGTCAAAGACATGTCGGGCATCTGCTATGCCCTGCTTAAACGGCAAACTTCCAGTGCACCCGCTACCTACGTGAAAGCTGACCCCAATGACATCTAAGCCCAGCTCTCCAGCAAGTTTCAGCAGCCTACCAACTGACCCCAGTCTGGCTCCAAACTTTGAACTGAGTTTTACCAGCGATTTAGAGTCATCCACTGCAATGCGGAGTACCAGTCTGTAAAGTGGTTCAACAGACTAATCAATACTCTAACAAGAATGTACACAAAATATGGAAGCAAACATATTAGTAGTTGTTCACTTACTTGGCTTTGGAATGACAAAGAGAAATTTTTAGGAGTTCATCTTCACTATCAAAGGTCATCATATCTACTCCATGAGCACAGGCATACCTGATGTGCGACAGGGGCTTGGTTGTATGTGCATAAATTATTTTATCTGGTGTCACTCCCAGGGATAGGGCTTGCTGAATCTCGCCCTGTGTTAGACCAAAACAGGTTTGAAATAAGCAAACTGAGAAAGAAAATGAGAGGGAGACAACTTCTTTCTATAACAAAGATTGTGAAAAAAGTCTTTGAAATACTTCATCAGTACCTTGCTAGCACAGTCAAAACCTGTGTCCAGAGCACTCAGCATCTTTAAAACTGCTGGTGTGTTGTTGCACTTCACTGCATAGAAAGGCTTGACTCGAGGTAAGTTAGTGAGCCACCTGACGTGCCTCTTAACGATCCTATCAAGATTTGCCACATAGAATGGCTCTTCACTGTCCTTAAAGCAAAGTTACCATTTTACTGTTAATGAAAAATACACATCTCAACTATCTCACAAGACATTCATAGTCAGCAAAACTCAAGTGTCGTAATACTCACCCCTGAACCAAGCTCTTCTATTTTATTATCAATGAAATCATTGGTGGTCCTTCCATAATCTAAAATTTCAAATCCACAATTCTCTGAGGACAAACTGCGCATGACTGATCCATTTGCAGTTCCTGGTGCTGCAAGTGATGACAAGCAGTGAAAGACAAAATCATAAAACGAAAATAACCTGAAACAAATGTTGTTAACGTGAGGCTGGATCACAATTATTACCAGCTTTTCGCTATTTGTCTGAAATTGTGAAATTGTAATCAAAAACCAAAAATGTAACAACAGCATTTATAGGCACATTTGCCTCTCACATTAAAAATCACCTTAAGAAGTTAATTTTTTTTTCTTACCCCGGCCAGCATGCTTGTTCATCATCAAATCTCAAAATAATGTTAAATAAGTGTAATTCTTATCTCTTAGCAGCATGAAACAAAGACCTGGAAGTAAGTTTAACACAAAATGCTCACACACGCCTAACTAACACTCAGTGTAACACAATGATTTTGTTCAGCAAGCTCAGTCTTGGTTTACCGCACCTACTGTTTCAAAACCAACAAACCTGTTTACCTTGATAACCCAGTGGTTATATTTTCCTACATCAGATTCAGTTTAGGTGTTAAGTAATATGTAAGCCAGAGGGGAAAGAACTGTTGTTGGTTCTTGTTTTTACAGTACAGGGGCGGGGGAAGATTTTGTTGTGTGAGAGATGCCTAACTGTCCTTCTTGCTGTTGGACTAGTAAGTAATAACTTATTAGCTGGCTTGCTATATCAACTTTTGTTGACACAATTGTACACAGTATAACACATACAAAATTAAACTATTTAACCCCTTAATTAGAAGCAGTGGATGCCACTGTGCAGTGCCTGTGGAGCAGTTAGGGGTTCAGTGACTTGCTCAGGGGCACCTAGTGCAGTTGTCCATGATGGACTTTAACCAGCAACCCTTTGGTTCCCTAGCCAAGCCCCCACGGAGTGAGCTACTGCCAAATTTTATGATGTATTCCACCTGCTTTCATCTCTTGTACACACAATTTTGTAAACACTGCCAAATATAATCTAGTGCAATATGTCACTGGCTCCAAACATAACCTAATTTCTCCACTGACAAGATCAGTGGTGTCAGATCACATTTCAACCATGGCAGTTATCACTCTGATCAAGTCACCTGCCCTGTTCTGCTGTCAAAGGCCCTGTCTACATGAACACAGCTATTTTCAAAACCGTGACTTTTTCTTCGCAGTTTGGCCGTTCGTACACATGGAACCATAACATCAGGTCACTGAACCCGAACATTTTTGAAAACCCCTGCCAGGGTGAAGATTTTAAGAAACTCTGGTTGCAGTAAAACAGGAGTTTTGCCTTGTAATGTCAGAGTGCGTGCCGTTATCTGCTGTGTTTGATGTCAGATTGGGCACCACTGCCTGCTTTGTTAACCATTTTTTATTTGGCACCAGGTGGTTTGGCATGTTTTTGCTTCTTCGTGTAAACAGAGTGGTTTTTAACAAAGGAGGAAAAATTCTGTTTATAAAAATACCAATGTGTGTGCGGACTACGCCTAAGTTCAGCCAGATTTAAATTCAAAATCCCTCTGATATAGTTTTTCTTGCCCTACTGATGTACTTCCTACTAAACGTCTAGTGTAGTCTATTACGGAGATACAGATTTGTTTGCATGTGTTACGTGTGAAATGCATGGTGGGTATGTTTGTGTTAAAGGAGATTCTGCTTGTCTCTTGTGTACAGACTGTGGGTACAGGCTGCTGCTGGTATCCAAGGTAGATATTCAGTCCCTGTGCGCTGTTGAGACGGGGTCAAAGAGACCCATCGAAACAAAACCTTAAGAGATTGGCTGTCCGAGCGCTATCCCCGAGCAGGTCAAACTGACCCACAAACAACTTGCAACCTTCACAGACATCTTGCTAATCATTTTGGGATGAACACCCTCAGATTGGTACGGGAGTATGAAAGGATAGCCAGGAAAATTGCAGACTAAAGAAACCACCTAAGATTTAACCTGAGATGCAGACAACACAAAATCCTACCCAACAGCCTACACTTATGCTCCACGGTGAAAGGACAGAGCCGATATAATCTTAGAGAAGGCACAACACCAGCTACTGAATGAGAGAGTGAGACAGATCCATTTCACCATTGAAGCTCTGAACAAGTAATCTGACAACTTACACCAAAAACTGGAAACACATCGGCCCAGTACAGTACTAGAAAAGAGCATGGATTTCATTAAGAAAGCACAGTTATCTCAACACAACAAGAGCAAGTAAAGACAGAACCAAAACCTACAGGCAAGAGCCAGCAATGCAAACAAAACAGGCGAATTGTCTTGGAGGAGTAAGGACGACAACCCCACAACAGGGGAAACAGATAACAGACGGGTGAAAAATCTGTCTGATAGGGAACTGACCAGATCTGCAAATTACTCAGCCTCTGTCTAAACACTACCTATATCCAGTACAGAGGATTCTACAGACAAAAGCATGGCTGTGCCTTGGGCTCACCAGTGTTACCCATTGTGGCTGACATCTACATGGAAGAAGTGGATAACAAAATTAAAACCCTGGGAGTGCAAGCCTTCACAGAACACATCAACTGCAGTAACAGTAACATCAAGTTCACACGAGAAGATGTCTACAACAAGGGTTTGATGTTCCTGGACTGTGCTGTACACATTAAATTGGGGTTTACAGGAAACCAGAAGCCAGAGAGAAGGAACAGAACCACCTGAAGGGGGCACTTACAGCCTGTGGATACCCTAAATGGACCTTTGTGAAAACAGCCACAAGATCCAGGAAGAAGACCAACACTACAGGGGATGAGGAGAAGAAGGTCAAACGCAACAACATTGTGATTCCATACGTGTCTGGAGTATCAGAGAAACTCAGGAGGATTTTCAGCAAACACCGCATCGCTGTGTTTTTTAAACCCAAGAACACGCTAAGACAAATACTGGTACACCCCAAAGACCGCACACCCAAACACAACAAAAGCAATCTAGTGTATGCGGTCCAGTGAGGAATGCACAGACCTGTATATTGGGGAGACTAAACAACTACTACACAAACGCATGGCTCAACACAGAAGGGCCAACTCCTCAGGTCAAGACTCTGCAGTCTACTTACATCTGAAGGACAGAGGACACTCGTTTGAGGACCACCAGGTGCACATTTTAGACAGAGAAGATGGATGGTTTGAAAGAGGTGTCAAGGAAGCCATCTACACCAGGGTTGAGAAGCTGTCGCTGGACACACGAAGGGGTCTACGCCACCACTTATCACCCACTTACAATGCTGTCCTTTCATCACTTCCCAGGAAACTCAACAAGCATTTCCTCTTGGCCTCAGGTGAAAACACTAATGATGCTTGTTTAGCCACGGGTGGTACAAACGACCGTGAGGACCACAGCCAGGAGCACTAACGAACCAGCGGTATCAACAATCCTAGCTAACGATCCCACAGAGGTTAAATAGCCAAGTTTCCCTACCAGTCAGTCAGAACCAAAGAAGTCTCTTGGATGAGGGACGAAACATCTTTTAGTTTTTTTTTCCTTCAACCAAGACCAGTTGCCCTTGACCAACCTTCGTTGAAAAACTATGACCTGGACGACTGTGTCCTGTATCGTTATTTTCCTAGATAAGTTAAACTGTCATAAAAGAGTAGTTTTGAAACAACAGCTGTATGATAAAACTTTAATTATGAAATGTCACAAATTTGTCACAACCTAGCGTTAAGCGACACGCATCTTCTCACACAGTGAAAAACAAATCTGTATTCTCATAACGTCAACTAGTGGCGAGAATCATCTCTACCCAGTTGAGGAAACTCGGCATACGGAATGATCGTAAAGTAACCCACGCACACTGAGACGCAGCCAGCAGACTCGCTGGTAGAGTTCTGCACTATAAACATCCAAAACCTGAAGCACAATCTGGCTCTGTTTGGAGCTGCACTTTATCAGAGCTGCAGAAGTTAACATGAGGATTTGCGCTGAGATGTCTGCCTGATTGGCAGTGTTGTTTTCGGTTTCTACCTCTGATGAAGTGCAGTGTACTCATTCAGTACAGTCTGAGCACAGCGGAGTACAGGTCAGTTAGACTTTTAAAAAAGATTATGAATTCTCATTAAATAATGATTTATCATCGAGGTGAAAATGTGCCGCAAATGATCATTTTTCAGTTTTGTTTATAACTCTTTTATTTGAATAAAGCAAAATAAACATTATTTATTTTATCAATTTATATTTTATATACATTTTGTAGTGAACCAGTGTTGGTTTAATTATTTTAAATCAAAAAGGATTAATCCAGAATCTCTCAACAGACAGCTGAAGAACCCCAAAGGATGGGGTGAAAGGTTTGCTCCACTCCCAAGTGCTGTTTGGGCCTTTCCGGCCATAAAGCCTACCACCTCCAGTGAAGTTGAAATAACAGACTCTATGCATGACTAACTAATGCTTTGTTCCCAGCACCTTTTATATACTCTTTTAGAAATTATATGATACAGAAATATTATCATGTGTTAAATAACCAATTTTCCTAGCTCCTGAACCAAGGATTGAGTTAACTTTAAGTTAAATAGTCAGAGGGTCCTTAGGTCCTCTCATTGAATTAGTGTCCCCCCCAGAGGACAAAAGAAGTATTGCATGCCATTGTTAAATGCCTCTCCTGCGGATTAATGTATTACTCTGTATTTTATTGTTTGGAATCTAATGCCAAGTTCTTATAACTTTCTTATACATTTTATAGTAAGAATGTTTAACAATCAGTAATCTCCTGGATGTTAAGTTTAGTTAAGATGGTCGTTTATCTGTGGTAATCAATATATGAAATGTTTTGACCAGTAACTATCATAATTGTTATGGACGATTAACAATAACTTTTCTTGCTTAAAATTAAGAACTTGACAAGAGTTGATTGAGTTCTCTCTCTTGCTCTTCTCTCGGCACGCTTACAGAGCGTGCTCTGCGTCCAAGCAACGCCAATGCCCAAGACTTCATTCCAGCATTGTCCGTGAAATTTTCTTTGTCTTCCAGCAACGTACTTAGCCATATTCATGCGAACCTTTGTTGAATTTACCTTGTTTTGTTTAAGAGTTATCAGACCATTTAAGCCACACTACTTTGAATTCAGGAACAACCAAGTTCCCTTTTAAGCTTTATTTCCGTCAAATTAACTTCTGCCACTCCCACCAAAGTTCGGAGGCCAGCCACGTGGGTAGTTACGTCACCCGTAACACAGAGAACATCAACATGAACAAACCGAGCCAGGGTTAAATGTCTATTACTGCAAGAGTTTCTTCATCTACCAGCCGAAGATGACGGACCTCCGGGCAATCCCCTGGCAGAGAAAGCGACTGGCTACAGTGTTTACTCACACTAAACACTGTAGCAACACGACCACAGACAGCTGTTGGATAGCACTTTGTGTACAAACATTTATATGAGTCACAAGTACACAGAAGTGCTGATAAACAGTATAAACTACAGCTTTCAC